CAGGGGAAGTCGAGGAGGCTAAATGGATGATTAGTTCAACTCCTTCCATGGGGAGGATTTTAGTGATGAAGAAAAGCTACCGTTCTGGAATCTAGTATCAAAGGAAGCCTAGAGACATCATTGGTAGGACACGAAGGCTTCAAAATAAAGGTGAATCTATTAGAGTTATGAATCCAGATGATTTTATAGAATGGATACAATCAGTTGAGAGGATTCTAAGTACAAAGTGGTGCTAGAATATGAAAGGGTGAAGCTTGTAGTTATCAAACTGAGAAAAAAACTCGTCCTTATGGTGAGACAACTTGCAGAGGCAGAGGAAAAGAGATGACAATGGTAAGATTACCAAGTGGGAGAAGTTGCAGAAGACAATGTAGAAAAATACTTGCCTCTTTACTACCCTTAGAATATATTTCTTAGACTCCATCTGCAGTAGAGAAACGTATCAGTGGAGAAGCTCACACGAAGTTTGACCAGTTGCAGATGAAGTGTGATTTGGTCGAGCCAGATGAGCACACCATAGCCCATTTTTTGGGGGTTTGAAGCTCGTTATTAATGATGTGGCGTGGCTGCAACTTTATTGGTTACTTGGAGATGTCCATACCTTGGCATTGAAATTAGAAAGACAGCAGAAACAGAGCAGACAACCACCAACATTCAGATCACCGCCATCCACATTTGGAGACATTGGCAAGAGCACTCCTCAGAGAGTTGAGAAAACTGGTTTGGATAAGAATGGAGCCACGCCAATGAGAAGGAAGTCCGAGAAGAGTAGCACACTTTCTACAATCTCTGTCAGACAATGCTTCAAATGCTACGGATTGGGCACATCGCCTCCAATTGCCCGACAAGCCGAGTTATGTCTTTTATTGAGCAGGGAGCTGTGGAGGAGGTTAGCGACGAGGAGAGAACTGAAGTGTAGGGACAAGTGCATCATATTTCACGCGATGAGGGCGAGATGCTCGTGGTTCGACGGGTTCTACATACCAAGAATAAGAAGGATTCATTGTGGCTTCGTCACAATATTCTACGCCCGTTGCACTGTGAACGTGAAGGTATGCAATCTCATATTCGATGGAAGGAGCAGTAAGAACATGACATCTATACAGTTGGTAGAAAAGGTATGCAACCTCATAATCGATGGAGGGAGCATGATTGATCGAAGTTTTTGATTGGGAGTCAGCTACAGAATCAGGTTTGGTGCGACGTGGTCTGTATGGATGCTTGCCACCTTATGTTGGGGAGACCATGACAATTTGATCGGAGGACTCAGCACAACAGCTTCAAAAACACATATTCCTTCACCAAGGACAAGAAACACATAGTTCTTTATCTTCGGTGGAGCACGAGATCACAAGCACCCATGCCAACAGAGCAATATCGGTGAAACCAACTTTGGTAACAACTGCGGATGAGAAGACCCAGGCACTAGCTCTAGACACGAGGCAAGAATGACAGAGGGCATTTTAGGATATTACTGTCGTACCTTACCACCAGCTCTTCCACCGCGCTGGGAGGGTCAGGTCACCCTCACTTCACATCTAGTTAAGTTGACCGTGGATTACTTTGGGGGTATTCAACAAATGAGGCGAGACACACAAACTTAGTTCAATTTTGTACTAGACTCCCAGAAGGTTGTACCAATGTGGATATTTTCTTGCAAGTTGGGAAAGATCCTCAGGTGCCTTGTGGGATCCAGTGCTGCTAGGATTGCAGATGAGGAGCTAGAAACGTTGATGAATGAAGTTTAAGCTCCTCCAATCTAGGGAGACTGACGTAAGAGCTTGGGCTGAACCGACCCAAACAGGTTCAACAAGAGAAGGTTCGGTTCAACAGCAGGATGGACAAGCTTCTCTCTTTTTTGATTGGATGGGAATTATTCTCCCATTTTTTTTTCTATTTTTTTGCCTATTTGTTTATTATAAATATGTGTGTTGCTGTCCTAGGGTTTAGTTTTTTTTGTCTTTCTGATTTTAGAATTCTATCAAGCTTGTTGTCAGCGGTTGTTTTCCCTTTTAGGGTTGTATCCGAAGGTGAGAAGGTAATCCGTCTGTAACTCGTCCAAGGTGGTAATCTGTTCCAATGTTTCGAGAGGTGCTCCGACAATAACTCGCTCTCGTGGGGATAATTATCTTTCCCTTATAATTGCACCTGCTTGCTTCCCCTCTTTACAGTTAGTTCTTCTGATTCCAGCCGCAATTCCAATCTCACCCATGATCCTAGCCGCAAGCCACTTTACCTTTTCCCCAATTGCTGCTAGCACCTGATCTATTAGCTTCCCAGCCAGCATCCCTTACAACCACTAAAACATCCCCCTACCTATCCTGTCATTACCAACAATCCACCTGGCCTCACAACTGCATGCCCCCTTACAATCTCCTAGATTGCCGCCCTTCTATGACCCTTCCCTGCTCCATCCGCAAGCATGCTTCTCCCTCCCGTAGTTGTCAACAGATTCCACCATAGCATCCTCCAACCTAGCAACCAGCTCCTGCAACTCCTTGCACCTGCTTTCCAGGTGCTGCTCGACCCACTTCCAACTCTCTCACCCTTACAAACACCTCCAATTCGACCCCTACCTGTTGTCCAGCCGTGAACCGTCTCCCTCCACCCTCATCCTCATTCTAGGGCATATTTTTTTCTATTATTTCTTATCGTTTATTTTCTATTTTGAAGAGTCGTCGTTGTAAACTATTTAAATTTCAGCGATAAAACTTGCAGTCCTATCATGGTTTGGGTTAACTACAGTATCAGGAAAGGTGTGCAATGTTTTCATCGATGGAAGTGGTTATGAGAATGTGGTGTCTACATGGATGGTAATAAGTTTGCTCACCAGAGTCATAGCTAGTTATATTTCTTAACTTGGTTAAAGAAGGGGAACAGAGGTAGTATTGATAGAAAATGCCTCGTAGAGTTTTCTGATTAGTTGTATGACCAGTTGTGGTGTGATGTTGTACCTATAGATGCCCATCATGTTCTGTAGCGAAGACCGCCACAGTTTGATCACAAGACTCAGCATGTTGGGTTTAAGAATAGTTACTTATTCATCAAGGATGAAAAGTGCATGGTTCTTCTACTTGATTCGGCGTTTGAGGTATTAAGTGATCTTGCCATTAGAGAGGCGCTAGGGGATCAATTTTGGTGATGTTAGAGGGTAGTGAGACAGAAGAGGCGATATCAAACATATAACCACTATAAATAGAGTTTCAGGATATCCTGATCCACAACTTACGACCAGGGCTGCCATCGTTAGGAAAGGTTCAACTTTCGTCACTTCAGGAAGAATGAGCCAATATGGAGGACTTTGTGAGGTACTCTTGGCACGAAGTTCTCTTTGGCTTAACAATATACCTTCAAATTGTTGGATGATAAAGATGATTACTCGGACTTCGTGGAACCTTCTTAGGTATTTTGTGGGATAATACATCCGACAGTGGGTTCTAGGTGCTTCTAGAGATACAGTCGAAAGCCCTCCAATCTCGGGAGGTTACGACAGCTCTGCCACCTTCAACATGGCTGACATAACGTCATATCATAAGGAGTCAGAAGCTTCGATAGATGAGGTTGAAACTCCCCCAACCATGGGAGACTGATGTGGGCATTTTAATTTGGATCGGTTTGGTCTAGGGTTTTGGTGGGCCGGTTGCCCTCGTCTTGGGAGTGCCGCTTCTTTTTAAGAGAGACCCACTCTTGAAATATATTTATTTTTGTTGGTTCTGAGGGTTCAGTTTTTGCTGTGAATTGCTTTGGGATAGATGTCAGCATCTTCTTTTCTCTTTATAGGTTGTATCTTTGGGTTTCAAGTGGTGATCTAGCTGTATCTTGATATTCAGGTGGTGTTTATCATTCCTATACATTTTCCCCATCCTTTCCTAAATCTCTCCCACATTTAATCTTGCTGCTTGCTTGCTATCCGGACCTCTGGAAACTGTTGTTCTGCTAGCTGCCACCTTGCTGCCACCCGGAGGTCCAAACCCTAGTCGTCATCACCTCCACCTTAGATCCAAACCTAATTCCATTGTTGTGTTGTTTTGTTGCAATTTCAGATTTTCCTAGTGTTTGTTGTGATTTCAAACTTTGAATTTAATAATAATATTTGTTTCCCTTTGATGTTTTGTTAAATTCCCGTATCAGCAAGTTGATGTGCATGAGTGAACAAGTATGAAACTACCTTTTTATTTTAAATCAAGAATATAATTTTTCTCAAGACATCTTTTTTTTTAGCACTATTAACTGTAGCTTTTATTAATTTGGACAATAGAATTAATTTGGTCAATGTTGAAAGAGTTAGGTGATTAAATTTGGCTTTTTACGTAGTCTAAGACTAAAATGAACCCATCACAGATAGTCGGGCAACCATTTGAGACATTCTCTCTTTTAATTTTAATTTTTTTAAGAAAGATTTATATACATACCATTCAATTCCCATGTAATTACGTAAACCTCAATTATGCATGAAAAGGTGTTTTTCATCTTTTGAAAATTAAAACGTTGTTATTTTTGTTGTGATATAAAAGATTTGGCTGATTTAAATGTAAAAAAGTAACGTTTTGGTGTTAGATATGTAACTAGATATGGATTGGGTGGTATGTATGTAAATGCCCTTTTTCTTAAACGTCTAGGAGCTTTGTCGATGGTTTCTTGCAAACATATGCTTTATGTTCTCTGCATGCTCCATTAATTAAAACGCGCTGATTCATATTAATGATACGTGAGGCAAATGCAATTTTCTGATCAATCTATTTGTTGTTACTTCTTCATTCTGATTCTCACAGTTAATTGTTTGTCCAATTACAAATTATGCATCCTTCTGTGTTCGTTCTCGTCATTCACTATGTTTGAGGAAGATATCCATTTCTGCAATTTTTTAAAGTTCTGGAGTCACTATGTTTATTTTTAAGAATATTTTAAAATATCCAATCTCTTCTCTGCTAACTACTTTATTGAATTTACTTTTTTTGGTTATCAAACATTGACAGATTCTTGTTTGTTTGTATGTTTAGGGGGATTCTCAGATTTTTGAGGGCATCCTGACTCTGGCGATAATTTCGGCCAAAAGGTTTTCTAATGATATTGCAGAACCATCAGATACTGTAAGTTAAGATTTTCTGCGTTTGATATATTGATGATTCATATTTGTGTGGTAGCTGTGGCTCTAGATATACATGTAGTTTTTTATTTGCGCTTGTTGTAATGTATTAGACATTTGATTATATTTTCTTTGGAAGAATTTCATTTATGATCACTACTAAACTATTGAAAATAAGATTAAATGTTGCCCTAGTTTTTTATTTAACATAATCTTTACGTGGCAGGATAAGTCCTTTTGAAGCAATGAAGCCAGATTCCTGATTTTTTAATCTCCATTGACATTGGGAGCAAGACTTGTATTTTGACTTTGTTTTATCTTGATAATGCAAGCAGAATATTTTAATTTTGACCTATTGTTTTAATTCCAAGAAGTATTTCCAACTAATAATGTTTTCTCCTTGATTCTATTATTTCATTTTCAGAATTCCTATCGATGTAAGTTAATAGACTGTTTTTGTTGGTTTTTTTTACTTGGCTTTTCCATGCACAACTGAACTTGTGCTTGGCGCTGCTTTTATTGTTCTCTCTTCCATATATATATATATATTAGCTACTACAAATTTATATATATACATATATGCGTCGGCGGCGGGCAGCTCTGCTAGGGTTTCACCCGATGACGATTCCCTGTTTTGACACATTCGACTTCACTCCATCTGGCATTCGGTTTCGTCGTCTCTCCTCTTATGTTGCAGTAATCGTCCCCGACGACGAAGGGCCTTTTCGGTTTCTTTTGTCGCAATTGCTCCCGATGACGGTTCTTTTCTATCACAGCTATTCCCGACAACGGAGGCCTCCTTTTTCGTCGTCTCCTTCCCTCTCGCATCTGTGCCCGACGACGAAGGCCTCCTTCGTTTTCGTCATCTCCCTTTGCAGTTGCGCTCGACGACGAACCTTCTTTTATGTCGTCTCCCTTCTATCGCATTGTTACGAGGCAGCCTTCTCGGCTTGTTGCTCGTGTCGTCTCTTCTGCTCGCCTTTTTCTAGCGGCTCATCTAGCTGCTCTGAAGATGGCCTCGACGATGCGTTCCACTGCACTTGCCGAGCCACTGCACTTGCCGACGACTTTTCTATTCCTACTCATGCTCCTCTTTCAGGTTCAGAGCCTGATTTTCATATTGGCAAATCCTACAATATTCCACAATTTTTTCACGAAGTTCTTGAAGGTGGTGGTGATTATACTTTCTTCAAAAAAACTTTGTAAAAAAAATGGGAAGCCCGCTCTGATTCTCACTAAGGTTGAAATCAGTACTCTCACGTCCTCTTGACATTTTGCTAGAGTGGGAAAATTTCTTTATGGTCACCCAAAACTTGAGGTCATTCGGAAAGAGTTTGATGCTATGAAGCTATTGGGCAGTTGAAATATCGACTTACTTGACATACGACATATTCTTATTCAGTTATCTCGCGATGTCGATTACACTCGCATTTTTTCTCAAAAAGTTATCAAGATCGACAACCGTTTTATGAAAATTCTGTAGTGGACTGTCGATTTTGATTCAAAAGCGGAGTCCTCTATCATTCATGTTTGGATAGTTTCGGGGTTAAAATTACATCTGTTCAACTTGAAAATTCTCTACTCCTTAACAACTGCTTTCGGTAAGTCTCTCAAGGTTGATAGTTCTACGCTTGCTGTCAGCAGACCCTCAGTGGCTTGTGTGTTAGTTGAGAGAGATATCACTCAACTTGCTCCAGATGAGGTATGGATTGACACCACTGACAATGGGTATTGACAAAAGATTGAAATAGAACCACACCCTCCTTATTGCTCTCATTGTAGTATTGCTCTCATTGTATTGCTCTCATTGTAGTATGTTTGACCACAGTTTTACTATTTGCTATCGCTTGCATCCTCATCTAATGCCAAATATCGCTAAAGATTAGCCATCTACCATCCCAGTTGAGAAGGTGCAACCTGATCCTCTTTCCAACTCCGCAGTTCTTGATGAAGAACACCATACTACAGTTACAGATCCAAATGTGCTTATACCACTCGCTGTTATTGAAGAAAACCCACTTACATGCCAAGACACACGAGAGTACTCCTTCGATCCGATAAAAGATCAGCTACTACAACAAATAGTTGTTTTTAATGTTCAACAACCTGCACATGTCCGACACACTTTAGATCAATCTACTGATCAGGTGGATCAGTCAGGTGAGTCAATCTTTGGATGAGGAATGACAAGTCTATACCAGGAGGAAAAAAAAGAATGGATGCTGACTCGAGCTCGGGAACTTATTGGATGATACATTGGTTACTACTGACAATGACACTCAACTTACCAATTTATTAGCTGGCTCCTTCCCTAGAACTAGAGGCAGAGACAAGACAAAGTCAGGTCGCTCTCTGGCTACCTGATTCTTCGTATTTTGGTACTTTTTGGTTTTTCTTTACGTAGCTCATGTATTTTTCTGTTTTCTCTTTTTGGAACCTTCTGCATGTGGTGATTATCGTGTGGGCAAAGTGCCATCTTTGGGCCCTCCTACATAGTCTATATGTATCCTACTTTCTTTTAATATATTAGTCATTGGGCTTTCTAATATATATATATATGTATATATATATATATCTTCGTTTTTGCTCTGCTAGGGTTTCTTCTCATGGCGAACCCTAGCGTCTGGTTTTTCTTGCTCGTATTGATCATTTTGTCCTCTGGCTGGCGAAGGAGCTTGCGGTCTGCCTCGAGGCTGCTTGTCTTCTGCGTTGTCTCCGGAGGTGATCGCGTCTGCGCCGATTCGCTCTGCAGGTTTCGTCGACTGCTCTGAGCTGCTCGTCGTCAAAGCCGCTCGACTGTTCCGCTAGTTCTGCTCGAATCTGCTCGACTGCTTACGCCCCGTTCGTTGGCGGTAGTCGGCAAGCTACGCCAGCTGTTACTCTTGCAGTGCTTGTGTGAAGCACGCCAATGGCCTCAGGGCTTTCCTATGCCGCTGCCCTAGCCGATGATAATCCCGCCAAACCCTTCGATGCGACAGTGGCTCACTAACACAGCTTTATTTCCATCTCGCAGATAGTTCGATATTCCCGCAGATGTACCATGATTCTGTTGCAGGATATGGAGATTGCAATCTTATCAAAAAGGCAGAGAAAAATGCGGGCAAGCTAGTAATATTCTTCTCTGACGCTGAAATTTCTACTCGTGCATGAAAATATAAATTTACACTAGTTGGAAAGTTCACTAGTTGGAAAGTTCCAATTTGTTCCAATTTGGTCGCCCTAAATGGAGATTATCAACAAGGTTTTTGAAGATTTCAAACTAGTTGGGGCTTGACTGGTGGACCTTTTCGACGGAAGATATCTTATGATACAGCTGAACATAGAAGAAAAGTACACAAATTTTTCTCAGAGAAATTCATCACAATCGAGGGCAATCTTATGAAATTGCTCAAATGGATCCCTGTTTTTGATCCCAGTCAAGAACTCCCAATTGCGTCTTTCTGGTTCTCATTACCTGAACTCAAGCTTTAATTCTTTGACCTACCTATCTTATATGCAATTGAGACTATCTTTGAAAAACCTTTGCAGATAGACATACCTACTGTTCATTCTCAAGACCCTCTACTGCAAGGATTTTGATTGAAAGAGATATTATACTACTAGATGTTGAAGAAGTCTGACTTAGTTCCACTTACAATGGTTATTGATAAAAAATCATTATGAAGCAAAAACCTTAATGCTGCAAGAACTGCAAGATGTTTGAATACCTGCAAGAGAAATGTTTCAGATTGCACTCATAGTTGAGAACCGATAGTCAAAAACAGGAACATGTTGTTAGTGAACTCCACGTCCCAGCAAAACTGATGACATTCAACCTGAGGAGGGAATCACCACAAGACAGGAGTTAGTGTCTGCCCCTAAGAACCCTTCTTCTGACCATACTATAAGGGATAATGTTTGGACCGAAAATCAGGATAGTCATGTAGCTCCTATTCAGGAACCATTAGCTGCAGTTGTGACAATTCACACTTTACATACCCTGGAACCTATCGCTGTGGCAACGACTGACTTTCCTTCTACTGCGGTTCTAATATCTAATCAGATCGAGGATCACATGAGCCAGTCTTCAGATGAAGAATGACAAGTTTGCACTTCTTGGCGGAGAAAGAAGGTTGAGGGCACACTCCAACTTGGAACTTAATGGATGTTACTTTGGTTTCTCCTGACAATGACACAACACTTCAAAGTTTGTTATCTTGCTCTGCTCGTAAAACTAGAGGAAGTGGTAGCACTAAACTGGTTCGTCCCTAGCTATTTGTTTTCTGCATATTTTAAATTTTTTGAGTCTATCTGTATCCTCTTGTTGGGGTACTACTGTGCTTGTTATCGTATGAGTAGGGTGCCTCTATTGGGCTCTCTCATACAACCTTTATGTATCTTTTCTATTTCAAAAAAATCAGCGCTTTGGGCTTCTAAAAAAAAAAGAAAAAAATATATGTATATATAAATGTATTTCTTTTTCTCACTACAACTTACATCTGCTTCTTGTTAGTTATTATGTGCTTCGTTTGATTTTGTTATTTTCAAATATTGAAGATGCGAGTTATAGTTTTACATTTGTAATATTCGTTTTATTTCAGTATCCAGAGGCTGAGACTGAAAATGGCGTTACTTTTAAGCTAATTCGTGTATTTATTGCCAGATCCATTCAAGCGACATGCCGGCGGGTGAGTTATTTTTTTCCTTAATGATTTACCCATACTTAGCCGTCTTATAATAAATCGAAATCAGGGATTTCTTTTCCTGGATGTTTCAGATCCAAGATGCCTTGGATGTCAATTCTAAGAGGGAACAGAAGCATCCCTTGGCTCTATTTGCGAAGGAATTGAAGCTGTTTGCTGAGAAAGAGTACACATTGTTTACCCCAATATTATGTCGGCATTATTCTAAGGCGGGGATTGTCTTTTCTGTTATTCTTCACCAGTATTATTGGGAACAATTGGTAACAATGCCTTTTCATACCTATTTTTCAATTTAACCAAAGCTGATAATCGCTTAGGTCAATCATTTCTTGTATTATTTTTATCATTTTCTAGATGCCTTTCTTGGACGGCATATCAAGTTTCTCAGAAAGTGCAATTTCAGTGCTTTCAGCATCTTATAGCTTAGAGCGCTTTCTGGTTCATATAATCAATTCTATGAGTGGCGAGAGCAAACCAATACCTATCACCAATTTTTTTGATCCTTACCAGGTAATTTGATGTTATTTATTCTTTCTGAAGAATTGATACTTTATTTCTTCCTTGTGGCAAAATTGCGGCGGGTTGATGCCAAGTAATGCACAGAACTGAATATTTGATTCATTACCATTATTTCCCACTTGAAAGATGCATGCATATTGTTGCTGCTTCTATTGCTTTGTAGATGCATTTATGTTCATAAGCACCTTTTATGATATTATATGAAACTTGGTTGTTTAGGATTTGATGATTAAACATACTGACAATGGGATTATGCGACATGAAATTGGCTATCTAAATGTGCAGGTTCTCTGTTTTTCTTACGGTGCATATTTCAGGTAGTGCAAGGAATTTGTGAATTATCTATAATAATTTGCACATGTAGCAATTTAATAGATTTTTTTTTTCTTTTAAGAAAACAATGGTTTGTAAAGGAAAAACTTATTAATTAATTAATAACTTGGGCTTTTATAGAGCCTATACATTCTTGCATATAAGTCTCTAGACTTCTTTATATTTCTTATTACTAAGGGTCTCTTTGAGTCAGCTGTAGCTTATTGAATAATCTGCTGATAAGCTGATTAAAAATAATCTGTCGATAAGTCAAGTGCGGTAGCTACTACAAATTTTTATTTTTTTAAAAAAGTCATGCGGTAGCTACTACAAATTTTTATTTTTTTAAAAAAGTCAGCTGCCACCGTACCTAGACAGGTGCGGTGTGAAAACGCTGTTTTTAGCGTTTTGAAAATGCACAAGCTGCTACAACGCAGTTTACCCAAACAGGCCAGATGCGTTTTCAAAATGCCACCGCATTAAATAAGTTGCCCCAAACGGATCCTAAATAGAGCTCTAAACTATATACGATTCTCAACACTCCCCCTCAGATAGGTTGGCACATAACCTAGATTGATCTAATGAGCTAAATCTTTTGGTGAGGCAGTCAACTAATTACTCTGTAGCAGCTACATGACTTATCTCTAGTAGTTCATCATTCATCATCTCCTTGATGAACCTATCAATCTCCATATGCTTGGTTCTATCGTGCCGCACAGGGATGTTGGCAATGCTGATTGCGGACTTGTTGTCGCACCACACCTTCATTTGAGCTGTTTGGTCCACCTTGAGCTTTACAAATAGAGCTCTCAACCATAACATTTCGACAACTCCTAAGGCATTACCCTATGCTATGCATCCGCCCACGCAACTACCGACTCCTTGCTCTTACAAGAGACCAAATTGCCCTTACGAACATGCACTATATTGATGTCGACCTCCTATCATCAACACAACAAGTCTAATTAAAGTTACAGTAGCCCTCAATTCCTAAATACTCATTCTTTTTGAAAATCAATCATTTCTCTGGTGCACTCTTTAGATACTTCATAATCTGATACATTGCATCCATGTGACCCTCTCCGATCATGCATGTAACGACTCACCACACTTATTGTAAATGATATGTCAGGACGATTGTGACTCAGAAATATAAGTCATCCTATCAACCTCTATTATATCTCACGATCAACTATCTCTCCTACCTTTGCGCTCAACTTTCTTCCGGTCAATTGGTGAAACTGTATGTTTGCATCATAACATGTCTGTCTCTGTGAGCAAGTCTAGCACATACTTCCTCTAAGATAGAACAATTTCCTTTGGTCCACGAGTCACCTCAATCTTAATGAGGTTTCTAAGCTGTTTCAGGTCCTTCACCTCAAACACTTTGCCCGAACTTATCGTCAACTGAGCAATCTCTTCTTTATCATTACCAGTTACAATCATATCATCCACATACACGATAAGAATAGTAATGTGACCGCCATGTTGTTGAAAGAACACTGTGTGGTCGACATTGATCTGTTGGATAGCCCATGCCTGCCATTGCTCTTCTGAACCTGTCAAACCAGGCTTGAGGAGACTATTTCAAACAGTACAATGACTTCCTCAGTCTACATATTTTGCCAAATTTTTGGTTTGTGTCGAAGCCTGAGAGCATCTCCATGTACACCTCATCTAGTAGATCTCTATAAAGAAATGCATTGTTAACATCTACTTGGTGTAACCTTCATCCACCATTCACAGCCAGAAAGGGATGTCCTGGCCGTGCTTATTTTCGCCATTGGTGCAAATATCTCATCATAGTAGATTTCATGTTTGACCATATCCTTTTGCCATCAACCGTGCTTTGTAGCAATCAATCTTTCCATTAGAGGTTTGCTTCACTATAAAGACTCATTTACACCCGACTTTCGTTTTCCCTAGCAACCCGAGCTCCCACGTCCTATTCTTGTCGAGAGCACCAAGTTCCTCCAGCATGACAGTCTTCTATTTTGGGTCCTCTTTTGCTACTGACAACACTTGCATATGGAGATAATGTCCAAAGATGCAATGAATGTTCAATGTACATGTGATATGATAGAGTATGAGGCAAACTGGACAATTTCATGTGAGAAACCAAAACGATCAGGAGGATGACCCACAGTGCTGCGAGAAGTCCTCCTTAAAGTTATGGGGTGGGAGGAGAAGGGAGAGTAATCAAATTCTTAGGTGGGTGGTGTAGGTGTCTCACGAGTCAAGGTAGATCGAGACAAAAAACTTGATGGCAAGAGTGGCATGGCAGGCTCTGATCCCTCATTTTGCCTTCTTGTATACACCCTCAGCTCCCCTCTCCCCTTGAGCTTGAATCCCACCACCTTCATGCTCATTTCCCTCATTTTTCGGCTCTTCCTCAGCCGATCGTTCCCATACAACAAGAAAATGCATCGTTCTCACATGTACTAATCCCTCACCATCACTACTCTCCTCCTCTCGCCTCATACCTCTGGTATCCGGCGAGTCGCCAAAGGGTGAAGTTAGCTCCAAGGTGTAGTACAGTTTAAATTCTTATCTATATTCTTTATTGAGCTCCAACAAATATCTCTTATGGGTGGCAGACAAATCCACGTAAACACACTTAACAATTATGGGATGTAGCTGTCTTATTGATGATTTATTATCTTTCACAAAATATACTCAACAAAATACCTTCAATAGGAGAATCACACCATTATCTTCTTTCAACAAATTACAAGGAAATTGTCAATCCAACACTCTTGAGGGCATTCTGTTGTTCAATTGAGTGACTGTCAAAACCACTTGCCTCCATACGTGTTTTAGGACATTCATTGAAATCATCATGCTTTGGGTTACCTCTGGATGTATTCTTCCTCATTGTCACTCCATTTTTTGTCGGTGTGTATGGACATGTAGTTTGATACTGTATCCTTTGAGCTGACAGGTACTTCTCAAATGTTTTGTTGGTATACTCTTTCCCATT